TTGTGACCAGGTTGGAGGAAAGAGGGGAGTGGTTTTCACAGCATGTCCAGGAACTTGACCACCACTTGTCCAAAGATCCAGGAGAATGCTGCAGGTTTTTATTCCTCCATCCAGAAATATAAACAACCAAGTTCACGTGTTCCTCCAGGGACCTTGTGTTTCATCTCCACCTGGAAGTTTAGTTTTGTATTTTGCTTTTATTTACCTATTTTTTGGCCACGCCGTGTGGCATGCAGGATCTTAGTTCCCTGACCAGGGGTTGAACTTATGCCCACTGCAGTGGCAGCGCAGACTCCTAACCACTGGGCTGCCAGAGAAGTCCCATATTTTGCTTTCTTTTAATGAACCCCTGGGCTGCTTTGATGTTCTGCCGCCAGTGTTCAAGGGTAGGAAATAGTTTCAAGAGCTCGGACAAGTTCCCAGGCACCTTAGAATCGATTTGGCATATTCTTTTTGTTTCTTTGTTTTGTTTTGTTTTTTGTTTTTTTTGCGGTACGCGGGCCTCTCACTGTTGTGGCCTCTCCCGTTGCGGAACACGGGCTCGGGACGCGCAGGCTCAGCGGCCATGGCTCACGGGCCCAGCCGCTCCGCGGCATATGGGATCTTCCCGGACCGGGGCACGAACCCGTGTCCCCTGCATCAGCAGGCGGACTCTCAACCACTGCGCCACCAGGGAAGCCCAATTTGGCATATTCTTAAGACAGCTCCCAAGCCTGGCTGCAGGTCTGAATGTATTCCCCCAGAATGACCCACTGAATCAGAATCTCAGGGGCGGGAGTTGGGGGTCAAGGAATCTACAAGGAGCACCCCTGGGGATCCTGAGGCAACAAGCTGTGGAAACCCTGGTCTTGAAGGTTCTGATGTCCACTGAGGGCATCTTTGTTCTCAACTGTGCTGGCAGCTGGCTGGAGAGTCACAGTGCTGGGCACAGGCCTAGTGGACTCCAGGCCAGAGGGAGCACAGCAGTACCTCGGGAGGGTCCATCGTGGCGTGCCTGAGGGTCCCTAGGACACTCTGAGCCATGTGAGTCCTGCCCACATTCGCCCTCCCTGTGGCCCATGGATTTTTAAAAAATTTGTCACAAGCAGGTATCTATCTTTTTTTATTTTACTTATTTTAATTTTTTTTTTTTTTTTTGGCCAGGCTGTGCAGCTTGCAGGATCTTAGTTCCCCGACCAGGGATTGAACCCAGGCCACAGCAGTGAAAGCGCTGAGTCCTAACCACTGGACCACCGGGGAAGACCCACTGGTATCTATCTTTGCCCAGCATCCAGTCTCTCTTCTTTCAGTAACTTCCCTTCTTAGGCTGGGTCCCCTGGCAGCAGAACCTGACACTAGGATGTGAGGGCAAGTAGTTTATTTGGGAGGCGACCCCAGGAAGCCCTGCTGGGGGACGGAAAAGTGAGTCTGGGAAGGGAAGGCAGCCCGTACATGGTGCCTGAGTGAGCAGCTCCCACTGTGGGCGGCCAGGCTCAACCCCTGGGACCTCTGGGGTGTGGAGAGAACACCTCGGAGTTGGCCACCTGCTCACAGGGAGCTGAGGGTGTTTATCAGCCTACGTTCATTCATCAGGTTGAGAACTGCTCCTGGGGGTTAACTCCCTGGCACTTCCAGTCTTCCCTTCTCAGGGATGGGGTGATGCTCCAGCCACAAGAGGTAGCCATCAGAGAGAGAGTTGCAGGTTCATATATCCAGATGTCCTCTGCCCAGGGAAGGTGGGCAGGGCATCGAGAGCCACAGCCGAGAGCCTCCCTCATGTTGCCTTTAGGTAATATCTCTCCCCCAGTCTCCATCCTTGTGGTTTGGCTGGCACTGTCACCTCCCTTCAAGTCCCAGGTGGTCTCAGTGGATGGTTCAGAGATAGGCATCTGTCCCAATCGGCCAATCAGAGCCCACCCTGGAACTTCTGCTGGAAGTGGGGGTGAGAAACTCTGCCAGGATTGTCCAGCATCCAGGGTGTGGGCCACATGGAGGAGAGTGATGCCAATATGGAGAAGAACCCAACCAAGAAAGGGGGATATTTGATCCCCTGGATCCAGCTATACCTGAAGCATTCTTGGACTTCCCAATTACATGGACCAGTAAATCCCCGTTTTGCTTGAGAGAGTTTGTGTTGGATTTTGGGGTCTCTTGCAACCCCAAGAATCTGAAACTCATGACATTTTGGAGTCGGGAATTTGCAGAGCTTAGATGGGACATGGAGCAGGAGGCAAGATAGTGTCTGAGATTCCAGTACCTACCTGTAGTGTTGGGGGAACACCTGTGACACGAATATACAGGAGCCTAAGTCATCGGTACTGCTGGTCGGGGTTAACATGGGCTACTTATGGCTGTGTAAGTGTTCCCTCCCCACCCCATGGGAGTGATGGAAGACTCCCGGGCACAGAATGTGTACTAGAAGTCCTGGGGGCCTGACTTGGAACCCCAAGAGTTCTGTGTGTTGGGCAGTTGCCATGGTGACATGTGTCTCAGCTGCTGGGCTGCTCCTTATTTAGTTAGTATCTTATTTAGTATCTGGAAAGACCCCAGAAAAAGATTCCAATCCTGGGGTCAACGGGTGGGCTCAGGGGCCCTGAAATGGAAACGGGATTCAAGTGTGATGCCACAGCTTTCATCGGATTCTCGAAGGATCTGTGTCCTGGCTCCAGGACTCTTAGGTCAGGGGTTTCAAATTGTGCCTTTTGGGGACCCGCATTTCTCAGCAGTGCCTTGGTGGGTGCTGAAGGGAGGGGAGGGGAAATGGGCTGGGGAGAAGTTTGAGAGCCACCCAGCGCCTTTCCTTCCGGCTCTTTCCAGCTCCTTCCAGGCTCTGCCCAAATTCCCACAAGAGCTACTTGCACCCTGAGACCCGCCTCCTCTGCAGAGGCCCCTGGCCTCAGAGGGAGAATTGGTCCCAGAGGAAGCCTTTGGGCCACAGGGGGGCTGGGTGTGTTGTGTTCTGCCCTCTCTGGACCGAAAACCCAAGGCGCCTCCCAGACGTCAGCAGTGGAACCTGACCCCAGCTCGCCTGCCACAGGGAGCTCTTAGCCACACCCGTGGCAGCTGGCTGTTGTGAGAGCCCCGCGCAGCAGCTCCTGGGCAACCAGCGGAAAAGCTGCAGCTGATTGCTACCTCTCCGGGCGGTGGGGGGGGGGGGGGGGGGGGGGGGGGGGGGGGGGCGCCGAACGCAGCCACAGGAACCGCACCTCCTCTGCTCCCCCGACAGCCCTTGGCCTCCTGCTCCAAAACAAGGGACCCTTCCAGTGGTTAGGACTCAGCGCTTTCACTGCCGGGGGCCCGGGTTCAATCCCTGGTCGGGGAGCTAAGATCCTGCAAGCTGCATGGCTGTGGCCAAAAAAAAAGGGAATCCCACGACGCCTGTGACATCTTACTCCGTGTCCCAGGGGCGCTCGCAGGAAGGACAGGGGCCACCCCAGACAGGCCCCCGCCCCCTCCTGATGTCAGGACTTGGCTGTCCTCTGATGCAACTCTGGGACTTGGGTAAAACCCAGGGGAGAGGGCAGAGCAGCCCAGGAAGATGGACAGCAGGGCCCTCACCTTCACCTGGATACCTGGCAAGTAGAATCCAGGAGCCCACTCCCAAGACTCGGTGTTGGCAGTGATGAGTGGGGCCTAGAGGCCCGCATTTAATACACTGAAAACTGCACGTGTGTCTGTTCATGCACTGTATGCATATGTGGTGGGTTGAATAGTGTCGCCCCAGAATTCATGTCCACCCAGGACCTCAGAATGTGACCTTACATGGAAGTAGCGTTCTTGCCAGTGTAATTGGTTAAGGGTCTTGAGATGAAATCATCCTGGATTTAATGGGCCCTAAATCCAATGACTGGGTGTCCTTATATAAGAGACGACACAAAGAGGTGAAGGCCAGGTAAAGACAGAGGCAGAGACTGGAGTGATGTGGCCACAAGCCAAGGAACACCAGGAGCCTCCAGAGGCTGGAAGAGGCAGGAAGGATCCTCCCCTAAAGCCTTAGGAGGGAACACAACCCTGCCAACACCTTCATCTCAGACTTCTGCCCTCCAGACTGTGAGGGAATCAATTTCTACTGTTTTAAGCTACAACTTTGCGGTAATTTGGTACGGCAGCCCTAGGAAACTAATACACTATATTTGTGCTTTATATGTTAAAAACGTGATTTTTTTGTGCCACCCTCTTCCCTCTGAGAACCAATCTGCAACCCCTTAAGGGTGATGTCACCCCTGTTGAACATGTTCTTGAGTCTTTTAAGCAAAAGCTGAGTAATTCTTGAACAAACCCAGGGAAACCTCCAGGGTTCTAGGAAGTAGGCAACAGAGGTATATCCAAATCTAAAACGTTTAATGCTTCTGGTTGGAGCAAACGATCAGGTGAACAAGAAACATCGTGTTTTCCTGGCTGAAACAGACTGTGTGATCAGTTCATTTTACAGGGGGAGAAATTCCAGACACAGGGTAGGAAAAAAAGTCTCAACCCGTGGGGAGAACATTCTGTAGCTCGTTGAGGGAAACATCACTTGGAATGATGCTCTTACAGATGAGTGGATGTGCCCAGAGAACACAAGCAGTTTCTATAAAGGGAAAGTCAGAGGTAACTAGTATCCCAATCTCCCACTTTTCTCCAGATGCACAGTGTGTAAAACAGTGACGGGTGTCCTCACAGGAAGTCTGGAGTCTTTGGATGAGAAGCATTAAATACTCAGAATAACCACTGACTTTTATCAAGAGCTTTCCATGTGCCAGGCTGAGGACTTCACAGCCACTCTTGTTTCATCCCACTACAGCCCAGTGAATGAGGTAGGCACTGCTATCCCTATTTTACAGATGAGGATATTTAGGCAAAGAGAGGTTAAGTCACCTGCTGGAGGTCACACAGCTAGTGAAAGGATGGCTGGGGCTTGAACCCCACTTTGTCGAGATTTTTTTTTTACGACCCAGGCTCCTAAACCCAGTGCCTGGGCAGGTCCTATTGCTAATGGGCCATTTCTGTCCTGGCCACAATAGGTTAATGAACAAGATGGAGGAAGAAACCAAGCCAAGGAGCTTCCAGCCCTGGGGTCTGGGGAAATTTAGAAGCCAAGAGCTTGGCAGCGCTTCCTTGGATTTTTAACCCCAAGCCTCCCAAAGGTAAGAAGAATGGCTACTGATTGATGATGCTCCAACATGGGCCCCAGGGACCTCCAGCACAGAAGAACAATAGCAGATGCCACTGTGGTCACCTGCTGCTCCTGTGGCCCAGCTCCCTTTGTCCATTGGGTGACTGGCCCTCCCCTACTCCACTCTTGCTTCTGGAGGGAATGTCGATCACAGGACCCCCAGCCTCTTGGCCAGTATGTCCACAAGAGTGAGTACGTGACTTGCCCAGGGCCAGTCAGAGCCTTCTCTGGGATTTGAGATGGAAAGAGTCTCTTTCTGGCTTAGAGATTGAGAGCCCTGTGGTTGTAGGCTAGGGGCTGCTGGCAGCCACCATCCCCTGCAGGTGGACAAAAGGACAGGCCAGCATGCAAAGTGATGCAGAACCAAGAGGCCTGGGTGAGGCTAAGGATCAGCACATGAGCCTGAGGACACTGGGCTCCTGGATGCAGCCGTACCTGAAGCAAGCAAGCACCACCCTCGGCCATCCCAGTTACAGGAGCCAGGGAATTCCCTTTGTTGCTTAAACCTGTTTGAGCTGGGGCTTTCCCGAGGTGGGGAGGAGAGCAAGCTCTCAAAAAGAGAGGGCTGAGGCTCCTTATCGCTGCTGCTGCTAAGTCTGGACAGCTGATAGCCGACCTTCCTCTCTGGAATCAGCAGATCCAGGTTCCACTTGTCAAAAGCTACTTATAAACTCAAGTGAAGGAAAGGCTTCTCCATCCTTCACTGGGGGCTAGTCCTAGACACTAAGTGTGCGGGGAATGCCAGGGCAGCTTACCCCAAAATGCTTCTAGTTTGTAGAGACAAGCTAGAAATTCACCTAAAGATAGTTGAAAATATTGCAGATTGCTCCCAGCGATAAACGCCTGGTGACATGGGAACAATTAGTTTTAAGAATGTCTCCAATCTTCCTCCCTCTCTCTCTCCCTCATGCATGTACACGTACACCTTAATGCAGGATACAGAGTTTGGGATTTTGTTCCTATATCTGAGAAGTGAACTGAAAACCTTAAAGGTGGGCAAGGCTCCCTCTCTGCAGGGAGAAGGGGGTCTCTGAGGACGGCTCGTTCCCTCTACTCCAGGTATGGGGTTGAGGGTGGCATGGAAGTAGGTCCTTGCCCCGTCATGTCGAGCTTGCATGGAGGTGACATCCCCTTGGTTGTGAACTCACCCCTTGGGCAAGGCCCAGCGACTCTGGGTGTCAGCCAGAGACGACCCCAACTGTAAGCAAAGCTGTGAGATGAGAGTAACGCTGAGTCTCTCGCCCCAGACTGTGGAGCTATTTCAGTGAAGTCCCTCCCAGGCAGATAATGCAAGTGAGTGATGTGGGCTAGGGGTGGGTTGATAGAGAGGGGTGGGGACTGGGGTGGCCCCATCCAGGGGCGCAGCTGTGTTGTCTTTACACAGCAATAGTGGCTCTGTTTGGCCAACACTCCTATATGCTTAAGTGAAGCTGTAAATCCTGATTTCTGTGTGAAATGCCCCAATTTTTAAACCTTTTGTTTAGGCAAAAAACAAAAACACTAAAAGCAGGCCGGGGGCTTCCCTGGTGGCGCTAGTGGTTGAGAGTCCGCCTGCCAATGCAGAGGACTCGGGTTCGTGCCCTGGTCCGGGAAGATCCCACATGCCGCGGAGCGGCTAGGCCCGTGAGCCATGGCTGCTGAGCCTGCGTGTCCGGAGCCTGTGATCCGCAACAGGAGAGGCCACAACAGTGAGAGGCCCGCGTACCACAAAAAAAATAAATAAATAAAAGCAGGCCAGATCAGACTGCAGGCTGCCAGTGGTGACCTCTGACCTGTTGCCTTTTTGCAGGCCCAGGAAATGAAAGGAGAAATGTCCTCAGACCCCAAGGAGACCCACACCCCTCCCATGCAGGAACTCGGGGAAAGTCTTTCAACATTGGAGCTGGTTCTGGGGGTCAGATTTGCCCCAGGGCAGCTGCAACAAAGTCATAGCCCCCACCCCACAGGGGAGTCCTGATGACACATTGAGAGCCTGGATCCAGCCTTACCTGAAGCAAGTCCTCCTACACTGGCCAGTTACATGCACCCATGATTGGTCACCCGTTTTTGTTTAAGCCACTGGGAGGTGACTTACAACCAAAAAAGTTTCAATTAAACAGATTCCCAGGAGAGAAAGGGACCTCCAGAGAGTATAAAGATAGCCAGAGCCGCTTTATCACTGCCTGGAACTCAGCAGAAAACCTGGGCCTTCCCACCCTCTTCAAGTCAGGGGTGGTCAGGGTTAGGCCTGCCCAGTCATGTGCTGGGAAAATGAACTTCAAGTCCAGGGTAGGTGGCTCCCCCACAAAGTGGGGCCTGTAACTCAAATAACTGCTCACCAGCATATCCTGGGACCCAGGGCATCGCTACGGGTTTAGATGCTATGGTGAACACCCTACATTCCTGCTTCTTATGGGGGGAACCCCAATAGTCTTAGGAGGCCCCTGAGAAGGAGGCCACCCCAGGGAAGCAGAGCCAGAGGTGGCGGGGTGCAGGGGGGCACTGAGCCTGATGACACCCCTGAGCCCCCAGACCTGAACGTGGTTAGCCCACCCCTTGGCTTTTCGTACGCGAAGCCCCATCGGAGATGATTCTGTTCTCACCACTTCAAGAGCCCACAGGGCTCCACCCATCCGACTTTGGCTGTGTCCAGACCCAGGGCTGCAGCCCACATGGTCCCAGGCCTCATGGATACTTGTGGATGTGGTAGGCGAGCAGGCTGCCCCGCCGGGCTCGGTCCTAACTATCTGGAGACCAGGGAGCTGCTGTGGGACTGGCCGGAGGAGGAGGTGGTGGCGCTGAGCTGGGAGAAGCGGCTGGTGCAGGATTCCAGGCTGGACATGGAGCCCCTGGGGAGGAAGCACACACATGTTGCCTTCTGGTGGTGACACAGCCCTGGGTGCAAATGAGGCCCCAGGGCCCTTTCCACAAGGCTGGTAACCGCCCCAGGCACAGAGGGCAAGTGCAGAGGGAAAAGCAAGTGAAGCTGTGATGAGAAACGAAGCCCAGCCCATTTCCCTGCACCCACTTCCCCGCAAGAAGAGCCCAGCCTTCCACCTACCATTCAGGGGCTTCCCTTACCCGGGGGCCTAGCATGGCGCAGAGGGGACCCCGTTATCTCCAGCCTCCCCTCTCCGCCTTTCAGCTCCTCTGACACCTGCCTCCCATCATGGGACCTTGTGTGTCTACACCTGCTGCCAGAAGCCTTTTTCTCCTGCCCAATTTGCCCAGTCAAATCCCACTCCAGACTACGGAGCAGCAGTGTCCAGGAGACCTTTCTGCTATGACAAATAACAGATGTCCCATATCTGCGCCATCCAACACGGCTGCCATTGGCCACATGGGGCTGCTGGGCATTCTAGATGTGGCTAGTGTGACCAGGAACCGAACTTTTAATTTTATTTAGTTCTAATCGCTATGTTTAAATTGTTACCTTTGGCTAGGAGCTACCGGGTTGGAGAGTGCAGCCTTAGGGCCCAGCTACTCAAAGTGTGGTCCGGGGACCAGCAGCACCAGCATCTCCTGGAGCTTGTTAGAGCTGCAGACTCTCCGGCCCGCCCCAGAGCTGCACAATCAGAGTCTGCATTTTGACGAGCCCTCCAGGTGATCGTGTGCACACTGCCTAGATCTCAACTCCAATGTCACTTCCCAGACACCTCCCCCACACCCCCGCACCCCTGCCCACCCTGTGCCAGGCCTGGTCCTGGGCTCTGACAGCGCCCTATGTTAAGGCCTCTAGCACCTCCTGGAGTGTGACCTTGAGCAAGGACCCCAGGCTGGAATAACTTCACGGCATCTATCGGTGCTCGGGTGTGGATATGTGGTCTCCTGCTCCATGATGGCAGACCCTATCTGTCTGGCCTCCCCAGGGCCACCGGTTGCCCACTGAGAGCAGCCTTGAACTGCTTCTCTCCTGACACTACTGAAGGTCAGGGCAGCAAGGTTCTCCCACACTGACCAGACAAGACAATGCTGGCAAGCAGCATCCGGCCCACCCCTCAGCCTCCACCTGCCCTTCCGATGGCAGCAGCCCCCAGATGCAGGTGTCTGTGTGTCTGAGTGCCTCTGGACCTCAGTCTCTCTCTCCCACATTGAGCCCCAATGGCCAAAACAGGCTGCTTCCCAAAGGGAATCACCACCCTCTGACACCCTGTGGGGTCTCCCTTTGGAGTAAAGATGCTGGCCCAGCATTTCTTTTCTTTTTTGGGGGGTGTGCTTACAGCTTGTGGGATCTTAGTTCCCCAACCAAGGATTGAACCCACGTCCTCGGCAGTGAAAGCGTGGAGTCCTAACCACTGGACCGCCAGGGAATCCCCAGGCCCAGCATTTCCTGTGCCAGCTGCATGTGCCCCTAGGATCCCTGGAGCTCTGCCTTGGATATGGGTCCAGACTCAATACCCTCTTGGAGCCTCAAATTTACTCATCGGTAAACAATTTAAAGCATCATTTTTAGAAGGAAACTACACAGATATATCACGAAGCAGGATGCAAAATCACACTTGTTTTTAAAAGATAAAACACAAGGTATGGAAGAAACCACTACTGAGTGCTTACTGTATGCTCAGGTGAAGGGCAGGCTTCCCCCAACCATCTCATCCTCAGGACAACCCCATGACGTAGGGGCTTCTATTTAACAGTTGGGGCTCAGAGAACTAAAGTGACTTGCCTGAGGTCACAGAGCAACCAGGAAGTGCTGGAGGTCTTAACCACTACACATCCCTGTCTCTCTGACAGCAACACTTGGGGAGAGTTGTCTGTGAGGCATTAGTCTAGAATGTTCTAGAGCAGTCCAAACCCAGTTTTATGGAATTCTAGGAGTGAGGGGAGGTACAAATAGGAGGGCTCAGGCTCCCCTTCTCCCCCCACCAATCAATCTGGTATGTTAGGCTTCTGTGCATGGTTTCATTTGAAGGCAAGGTTCTGCAGCTGAGGCTGAAGCAGCATAGTGATCTGATCGCTCATGAAAAGGTGCTGAGCCACTGGCAAGTTTAACAACACCCGTGCCAGGGCCCCACCCCTGGAGAAGCTTGAGGGCAAGTAGAGGAGGTGAATCCAGTGTCCCTAGCCCAGAAGAAAGTGGCCTCAGGCATGCTGTGGGCCTGGTCTGGAGGGGAGTCCGGGGCTCCTCGTACCTGAAGTCCTCAGACGCCAGCACCTCGTAGTAGTAGAGGAGTTTGCACCTGGGGCCAGGGCTGTGCAGGGCCATCAGGACATCCTCCACGCCTGGGAGGCTGCAGGCCATGTGGCCAGGGGCACTGTGCATTTGCCACTGGAGCAGGTAGACACCAGGCCACTGGGTCACGTGGGAGCCCTGAAACATAGCAGCCACAAGCCTGAGGCCCTGGTCCACCAGGGAACAGGAGACCCTTTCTAAACCAGTCCACCAGCAAATCCTTCCTTTTGGGGTGTCCCAAAGCCACCTTTGCTTCCCCTCTGCTGTTACCCCATATCCCTGGCAGCTGAGAGCCTTCCTCTTAATCGAGATGGGGGGTGGGGGTCAAGGCCTAGGGGGTGCGGCTATAGGACAACAGAGGTGTGGTTTGGTTAAACACCTGGATTTTGTTGGGCTCTTGTCCTGCCGAGTGGGATTTGCAAATTGAGAAGACCTGGAAAGGGAGCTTAAATGTGCTTAGAGTTTGTTGAGGGCAGAGGGACAGCAAGAAAGGAGGGTGTTAGTTTTGTTTGTTTTTTATTGTTTTTTGTTTTTTTTGCGGTACGCGGGCCTCTCACTGTTGTGGCCTCTCCCGTTGCAGAGCACCGGGACGCTGGGACACACAGGCCCAGCGGCCATGGCTCATGGGCCCAGCCGCTCCGCGGCATGTGGGATCTTCCCGGACCGGGGCACGAACCCGTGTCCCCTGCATTGGCAGGCGGACTCTCAACCACTGCGCCACCAGGGAAGCCCAGGAGGGTGTTAGTTTTTATAAGAAGAGCAACTTTGAAAAAGGGCTGGGATGTTCGGTGGGACCCTGGGGCGGGGGTGCTGGTGTATGATGTGACAGCTGTCTGCTCAATTCCCTTAGGAGACCTCCAGTAAGATCTGCACTGCTTGCCAGTGCGTGCGTGTGTGCGTGTGTGTTTGAGGCCGGTGATGTTTGACCTGCAAGCACTGGCCTCATGGAGAATGTGGGGGTCAGCAGGGGTGGCTCACGTTCTGGTGACACGTCCGAGTGCTGTTCCCAGACCTACAGTTTCTCTGTTGCCTGGGTTCTGAAAACTTGACTGTGCATAAGGAATCACAGTGAGAGGTGAGGGATACAGACGCCAGGCCCCAAGCCCAGAGGTTTTGAGCTGGCCCTCCTTCCGTGGGCCCCAGCAACCTGCATCTTTGACAAGAGTCTCGGAATTCTGAGGATGGGGCCCTGCCAGAATCTGTCTTTCTCCCCAACTGTCCCGCAGGGTCTCTGAGGCCAGAGACCAGGTCCAGTTTGTCCATTGCTGTATCCCCAGAACCCAGCACACAGTGGACACTCAGTCCTGAGTGATGAATGAATAAATGAACGAAGAAACAGAACCTAGGGACTTCCCTGGTGGCGCAGTGGTTAAGAATCCACCTGCCAATGCAGGGGACACGGGTTCGATCCCTGGTCCGGGAAGATCCCACATGCCTCAGAGCAACTAAGCCCATGCGCCACAACTACTGAGCCTGTGCTCTAGAGCCTGCGAGCCACAGCTAATGAAGCCCATGCGCCCTAGAGCCTGCACACTGCAACTACTGAAGCCCATGCACTCTAGGGCCTGCGCTCCGCAACAAGAGAAGCCACGGTAATGAGAAGCCCGCGCACTGCAATGAAGGAGTAGCCCCCCCTCGCCGCAACTAGAGACAAGCCACGCACAGCAACGAAGACCCAACACGGGCACAAAATAAATACATAAATAACTTAAATTAAAAAAAAAAAAAAAGAAACAGAACCTGGATGCTCTCCCCTTCCCGGCAGATGAGGGGAGCCTCCACACGGCTGTAATCTGCACCCAGGGCCCAGCCTTTGTCTGTCAGCTGCCCGCCAGCCCTGACCCCAGGCTCCCGGGGGCCCGGCTTGGGCGCCTGCTTGGTGTGGTACAGACTGAACATCACGTCCCCTTGCAGGATGTCAAAGTCCCAGGTGATGACTGACTCCCTCTCCAGAATCTCCACTGCGACCTACGTGGGGACAGGTGACAGGTAAGGTCTGAACGTCCAGCCTGGCGGGGGTCGGGGTGGGGAAGTCAGCTGCAGGGGTGTGGGTGCCCACCCGGTCTCCATTCCCTCAGCCCCGACCCCAAGTCCAAGAATTGCTCTGGACAAACAGACCCACCTCTGTCTGAAAAATGCCTGGGAGGATCCACCCTGAAGCAGGGTGATCCACAGCCAATGACTGGATGATGTGAGGGTACAAAAGGCTGGCCCTCTACCATGCTCTCCTCATGGATCAGGCTGGGCTAGACCGTGGCTAAAACCGGCTCTTGGCTTAGCTTCTGCCCCCGCCCTCCTTACAGGTTTCTCCTGAGCCCTCATCCTCTACAAATCACTGGCACAAGAACCCTCGTCTCAGACTCCACTTCGGGGTCCCTGACTTACGACGACACCCAGCCCAGCAGGCCCGCCCAGGCCAGGACCCCGGCACCTCATGAGGGGCCCCGCGGAGCACGCTGGCTGACTGGTAGGTCTCTCTCCACTGCTGCAGCTGGTCTTTGTGCTCCTGGTCCTCTTCCATCAGGTAGAGGGACTTGGGGACCAGCCCTCCTTCAGGGACGTTACACTGGGGGACAAAGACAGCAGAGAAAGTCAGGGCCCAGCCAGGCCTGGCTGACCCACAGAAAGGTGCTCTGTGACCCCTGAAACCACACTTATAACATGCATATATATCCTGACAATTGGGGAGACCTGGGTAAGCTTGGCAAAATTCCTAGGAAACGTCGTTCTTTTTTTTTTTTTTTGTGGTACGCAGGCCTCTCACTGTTTTGGCCTCTCCCGTTGCGGAGCACAGGCTCCGGACGCGCAGGCTCAGCGGCCATGGCTCACAGGCCCAGCCGCTCCGCGGCATGTGGGATCTTCCCAGACTGGGGCACGAACCCATGTACCCTGCATTGGCAGGCGGACTCTCAACCACTGCACCACCAGGGAAGCCCAGGAAACGTCGTTCTTTACCCTGAAATCGTGAAAGCTTGCTCTTTGAGATTTCTGTTGGAGAAAGGAAAAGGCCTGCCCTCCCACAGTCATGAGATAGGGTCACCCCTGCCTATCATCTCACCCCCCAGGGCAGGCAATAAAAGTGGTCTGGGGGGAAAAAGGGGGTCTGGGGCCGCCTCCCCTGGAAACAGTTTCCTGATCATCCCCTGCCATGAGGCTGTGGGTTGGGGATAAGTCCCTCTGGGTACACCAGCTTTGGGGTTCAGGCCGCTGGGACATTTGAGTCCCCTCCCATTGCAGCAGACTGTGCAAAGCCAGCAGCTAAACTCTGGCTGCTGCCTAGCAGCGCCCTGGATGGGAATACAGGGGGGTAAACCTTTGCCTGGCCTGGTCTCTGAGCTTTCGGGAAACTTCTATTTCGCTCACTATGTTTGAAAGAACCAAGGTCAGGCCCCTCCTTCAGAGAGGACAAGCTCTGCCCCAAAGAGCCAGCAAGGCCCTCCCCATGTCAGAGCACAAACAAAGGGCCTGCCCTCCTCCCGCCTCCCATCCACAGCCCTGCCTCTCAGAGGCCACAGACCCTCCCCGTGCCGTAAGCGCAGGGCCCGCTGGGGCCTCACCAGGCACTCTCCCCCGAGGAAGTCGGGGATCACTTCTTTGTCCAGGTAGTCGACAAGGCCTCCGGGACCCTGATAATTGCTGCCACTGTAGATGAGGAACTTCTGCCTGGTGTTCTCATTGATGAAGGGGCTGATCTGAGAGGCGGAGATGGGGCAAGACGGAACGTTGTTTTTTTTTTTAATTGAAGTGTAATTCACAGAACATAGTTAACCATTTTAAAGTGAACAATTTGATGGCTTTTAGTTCATTCACTATGTTGGGCAACCACCACCTCGAATTCCAAGACATTTTCTTCCCCCCAAAAGGAAACCTCAGACCTGTTAGCAGTCACTCCCCTTTCCTTTCCCCTCAGCCCCTGGAAACCACCAATATGCTTTATTTTATTTTATTTTATTTTTGCCTATTCTGGAGATTTCATAGAAATGGGATGACACAACATGTGGCCTTTTGTGACTGGCTTCTTTCACTGAGCGTCATGTTTTCAAGGTTCAACCACGTTGTAGCATGAGTCACAACTCCCTTTTCACCTAGAGATTGCCATACTGAGTGAAGTCAGTCAGAGGGAAAGACAAATATATCACTTGTATGTGGAATCTAACAATGTGGCACAAATGAACTTATTTACAAAACAGAAACAGAGTCACAGATGTAGAAAACAAACTTATGGTTACCAAGGGGGAAATGGGGAGGGGAGGGATAAATTGGGAGATTGAGATTGACATATACACACTACTAAATATAAAATAGATAACTAATAAGAACCTAGTGTATAGCACAGGGAACTCTACTGAATACTCTGTAACAACCTATATGGGAAAAGAATCTAAAAAAGAGTGGATGTATGTATATGTACAACTGATTCACTTTGCTGTACAGCAGAAACTAACACAACACTGTAAATCAACTATACTCTGATAAAAATTAATTAAAAACATAAAAAAGAAAACAAAAGAACTCCCTTTTCATGGCTGAATAATATTCCATTGTGTGGATGACCATGTTTCGTTTGTCCCGGATGGAAAGTATTTCAACACCAAGCTCTAAGCTGCACATCAGTCTGGTTTTTCACGGCATCCCAATGCTGGGGTGGTGCCTGACTCAGGAAATAGTTGGGGAAGGAAGGAAAGGAAGGAAGGAAGGAAGGAAGGAAGGGAGGGAGGGGGAGGGAGGGAGGGAGGGGAGGGAGGGGAGGGAGGGGGAGGGAGAAAGGCACTTAGCACAGTAGAGCACAAGCCAATTCAGCAAGGAATGCCACAGGCAAAAGATCATTTGGGGGACTTCCCTGGTGGTCCAGTGTAAGACTCCATGTTCCCAATGCAGGGGGCCTGGGCTCAGTCCCTGGTCGGGGAACTAGATTCCACATGCATGCTGCAACTGAGAAGTCTGCATGCCGCAACTAAACATGCTGCAACAAAGACCCCGTGTGCTGCAGCTGAGACCCAGTGCAGCCTAAATAAATAAATATTTTTTAAAAATCATTTGGGAACTAGAAATCCCACATGTGTGGGTCACACTCCTTCAGCCCCCATCCCGGGAGGTGGTCCCCGTGGGCCTCAGCAACCTGGCTCTGTGCACTGGCTTTCATCTGGTGTGGCCAGTGGGGGAAGGGGGGCGGGGGCAGCAGGAGATGGAAGGTGGGTGCATCTTCCCCGCTCCCTCCCTGCTCCAGTGCCCCTGGCAGCCGCCACCCTCACCTGCCGAAGCTCTCTCAGGGCTCCAGTAACAAGGATATTCCCTCCTCATGTCCCTCCAGCCCTGGGGTCGTCAGGGCTTACGGCAGTGGCCAGCCCCTGGGGCCTCCCCATCCTGCCCACACCCCTGCGAGGAGTTCTGCTGTGTCACACCCCCACTGGAGTCACCTGGGTGAATCTGCTTCTGTCCAGGACCCCGACCGACTGGCTCCCACCCCCACCCAACGTGCATATTCTTAGGAAATCTCCAAACAGCAAAGACTTAATTTTCACAAAGATCAGGATATTTCAAGATAAAATGCTACAGTAGCAGATCCTGCCTGTCCCTCCCACAGCTGCTGTTCCCCAGCCCATCCCCAACAGAGCTGTAAAGTAGCCCCAGAAGCTAGGGAACTTTCTGCCCCCAGAAGTCTGCTCATGTCCTCTCCTCCAACAGTCCTGCCATGGCTCCCTACTGCCCCAGGACAAGGTCCCATCTTCGCCACAGCCTGGACTCTGCAGGCACTGGGCCCTGAGCATCTTCCCAGCCTCCTCTGGCCACTGATTTTTCAGTCCCTCAGAAGCACCCAGCCGGGCCCTGCCTCCAGGCCTTTGTACGTGCTGTGCAGGTTACCCACCACACCCTTCCTCCCGTCCTTCTCCCACTTGACTCCCACTCCTTCCTCATGTCTCAACCCATGTCACCTTCTCAGTGGAAGCGTCTTCAGCTCCCCAACCTAAATTATACACCCCCTCGCCCCCTGACTTAGTCTCCCCAAGAACCCTGAACGTCCCCAAGGCCATGTCACAGGGCATCATGAAGCAGTTACTCACGTGGGGCTATTGGATTTCTCTCCCCCCCACACCCCGTGACGCAGGGGTACACACTCTGCATCCCCAGGGCCTGGAGAGGTGCCTGGCACACAGCAGGCATTTAGTAAAACACTGAATCCATTTAACTTTCAACTCACAAATCTACCCTGATTGAACCTCTAGGGAGAGCAGAGATTCTCAGGCTTTCCCAGGCACCAAATCCCGAGGGCATTCGGTAAGATGCTGACCCCGAGTCTGTAAGATGGAGAGGGACCTGACATTGCTCCGGCCTGCAGACCACACTTCGGGAGCAAGGCCTCAGGGCAGTGGTTTTCAACTGCAAGTGATAATCCGGTAGTGGTTGTGATATCAACTTAGCTCTGTGACTAGCCTATTTTGAGTGGAGCGGACTAGAAAAGAATAGCAAAGAGCATGTTGTAAGTAGTTACGATAACCACCACTTGAGAATCTGTTGTTTCGGGTGTGTGTGTGTGTGTGTGTGTGTGTAGGCACGAGCCACACGAGGAGACCAGGTGGCAACATAAAGTGGGTTGTGGGCAAAAAGTTTTAAAATCCCAATAGCACAGGATCCCAACGCTCTTTGGAATCAGCTCACAGGAGTTCCAGGAACGTTGTACAATTCTAAGTGTGGCTCTCCCGCCCACGAAGCAGGACAGTGGACATGTAAAATGTGGTCCACCCATACAATGGAATATTATCCAGACGTAAAAAGGAATGAAGAAATGATTCTTGCTACAACATGGATGAACCTGAAATCATTATGCTAAGTGAGAGAAATCAGACACAAAAAGCCTCACATTGTATGATTCCACTCACATGAAATAGCTAGGACAGGCAAATCCACAGAGACAGAAAGTAGATGAGTGGTTGCAGGGGGCTGGGGGGAGGAATGGGGAGGAACTGCTAATGGGGACCAGGCTTCCTTTTTGGGGTGAAGAAAATGTTCTAGAACTAGCTGGTGGTGATGATTGCACAACTCTGTGAGTATACTAAAAACCACTGAATTCTATACTTTAAAAGGGTGAACTTTTTGTTTGTTTTGGAGTTTTTTTTGGCTGCACCATGTGGCTTACAAAATCTCAGTTACCCGACCAGGGACTGAACCCGGGTCATGGCAGTGAAAGCCCGGAATCCTAACCACTAGTCCAACAGGGAACTCCCAAAAGGGTGAACTTTATGGGAAATGAAGTATATCTCAATAAAGCTGGTAATTAGAGGAAACAATGCAGGATAATCGGGCGGAGCAGCTCACAGAGGGCCCCTCCCATCTCAGGCTCCTGCTCTTTCTTACCAGCGTCCAGAGCACAGGGAAGACGCGGGGGGCTCGCACGATGAGCAGCCGGCCCAGGGTCTCAGGATAATTGTCCTCCACCACCTCGATCATGCGCAGCAAGGCCTTTATCCCTGGCCGCCACAGGTGCCGCAGGCTGAGACCCTCCAGGTCCACCAGGCAGGTCCAGGAGCTGCGGCAAAGATGCCCCCTCACTCTACCTCGCTTGGCCACCTCCCAGGGCCCCCAACACCATCCTCAGGGACCTGGGGGCCCACAGACAGGGACGGAGGGAGAGGCTCAGTAAGGCAGCGCTGGGAGCAGAAAGGGCAGGGACCACAGGGCACTCTTGTGGACCCTGCCACCGTGGGGAGGCCACGTGGCATGGAGGTTCTGAGTGTGCACACCAGGGCTAAGCACCCAAATTCAAGTGCCTGAGAGCTGTGTGACACAGGCACTTCCTCATCAGGACAGTGGCAATCACAGTAACAGTCCCCATCTCATCCATTGTTAGGATTAAATGAGATGGTCTATGTAAAGCTCTCTGCAAGGACAGGCACATAGCAAATGCTCATTAAAAGCCAGTTTTTACTACTAATTGCTGAAAAGATGCTGACTGCTAAATAGAGCACACACTCCAGAGCCAGATGGCCTGGGTTCAAATCCCAGCTCTGGCATGTGCTGTGTGGCTTTGGCTAAGTTACTTAACCTCTTTGTGCCTCCATTTCATTAGAAGCAATTCATTAGGACAATGACTGTTTGGCTGTGGCAAGTGGTCCCTGGGAGCCTGTCCATCCAGCTTCATTCCCTTCACCTTGCCCACCCACTCCTAGGAGTGCCTTCATGACACCCTGTCATCTGAGCCATCTGGGGGGCATTCCGCTTCAGGCCAGGATGCTGATTGATCGATTCCCTGCTCCAACCCCAATGGACGCCCCTTTAGGAAAGCTCTAAATAGCAAAGGAGCTTAATTTGCACAAAGATCAGGATATTTCAGGATAAAAACTTCAGTAGCAGGTCCTGCCTGTCCCTCCCTTGTAGGCTGTGATAGGGTGACATGACTCAAGGAGCTTGGAAGAGTCCCTGCAACACAGGAAGTGCTATGTGGTGTTTGCATCACCTCTTAAAGTCATGGCTTACAGGATCTTAGTTCCCTGACCAGGGACTGAACCCGGGCCCCAGCAGTGAAAGCGCCGAGTGCTAACCACTAGACTGCCAGGGAATTCCCATTAAGTCATTGTTTTTGATAAGCCATAAAGAAACCCTAGGAAGGGTTTACAGAAGAGGAAGCCACAGCTTAGAAAGGTTAAGTGCCTTTGGGGGCAATGCCACTGTAAGGACTGGTGTGGGAAACTCCGCTCAGGAATAGGAGTTTGGGGCAGCCCGAGGAGGCGGTGGGTCACTGGATGTGCCATGACACCTGCGAGGTCCGCCTGCCTGGGACACTGGCAGGGTGGCTCTTGGGGTGGGAGCGCTGGTCTCGAAAAGCCAAGTCCAGGAGGCTGCATGGCACGGGGAGAAAGTCCGTGAGCCCAAGCCAGATAGGACCGGGTTCAAACTCCAGCTCTACCCCTTCCCCGCTCAGCAGCCTTGGAAGACCTCAGCACTCTGAGCCTCAGTTTCCCCTCCATAAAGAACAGGGATGCTGACAGTCCCTGCCTCGTAGGGTCACTGTAAGAATTAGGTGAGGACATTTCCGTAAAGCATCTAGCAGGCTGCCTGGCACGGCATCCATGCCCAGTGAACTTTGGCTGTTTTTACTGTTTGGGGGAGTTTGCCTGGGTTCTTGCCTGATGGGACGGCCAAACTGTTTTGTGTTCCCTTCACACCGCTTCTGTCCTTCCTCATTGACGCAAAGAACCTGGAAAGCAGAGAAGGTGCTGGCGAATGTTCACTTGGCTGCTCCAGCCGCAGGAAACCCCGGGGGCTCCCAGGAGTGGGGACCCCAACTCACATGCTGCAGCAGCACCTCCTCCCCCACGGCCTTCATCAAGCCCTTGGTGTCCATGTGGCCCAGACGCAAGATGTACAGGGGGCGGCCATCTTTGGGGCGGGGCCAAGCAAGTGGAGGACAAGAGGGAAACAGAATTACATACTTTTACATAATCCTTCATATATATTATATATGTACAATCAATTCTTGTTATTTGCGGTAGTTAATTTCTATAAAGTCACCTCGAACACTGAATCAAGGAACTCAGAACCACTGCTTCTAAGGGGGGAATAGGAGGTTAAGTTTCTGCCAGCCCCTGGTCGTGACATTTTTGTCAATCGATCGATCAGTATGTAACTTTGTTCTGCGTGTGTTTCTATTTGAGGACACCTTGTTTAATTTACATTGTTGATTCATTAACGTTGAACGCATGGCCAACAGCACTGTAACTCGTGCCTGAATGGAGTTTATCTCACATGAATTTTCTCCAGAAGGTGCATCACAGCCTTCTTGCACTTAGGAACATGGTGCTTCTGCACGATGCGAAATCAACACAAAAAAGCACAAAATGCGAGAAAAAAGAAATGGCACTAGATAGGCTGCAGAAAGGATACTCATTTACAGTAGGAGCTGAAGCAAGGAGGCAGAAGGACACTTGTTCCACCTCAGCTGGGGATGGATGTGCACGTCGGGTGACTCAGATTTTTCGTCACTCTGTCCGTGAAGGACAGTGAAAGCTCCCTGAGTATTGATTTGGGAGTTACAAATAAATTTTAGTGAGTAGGCAAATTCACAAATACAGAATCCATGAATAACACAGACTGACTGTATATTGAAAGCAAGCGTGTCAACCGGTTCTTCAGGAGACTCAAGCACTTGCCCTAATCAATACATATGAATTTTTAACTAAAGGACATTGAAAAGCATAACAGGCGCTGGCGTCAATGGCAGATTAATAAAAAATCCAGAGATGATATTTGTAGTGGGTTGAACAGTGTCCTCCCCAAAGTTCATGTCCATCCAGAACCTCAGAATGTGACCTTATTTGGAAATAGGGTCTTTGCTGATGTGATTACTTAAGGGTCTCAAGACGAAATCATGCTGGATCAGTGTGGGCCCTAAATCCAGTGACCCGGGGTCTTTAAAAGATGAGGAGAGGACACAGAGAGATACCGAGAGGGGAGGCTGCATGAAGACAGACGCAGAGATTGGGGTGACGTGGCCACAAGCCAAGGAACACCTGAGGCCACCAGAAGCTGGAAGAGGCAGGAAGGATCTCCCCCAGAGCCTTCGGAGGGAGCACCGTCTTGCTGACACTTTGATTTTGGACTTCTAGCCTCCAGAACAATGAGAGGATAAATTGCTATTGCTTTAAGCCACCCAGTTTGTGGTAATCTGCTAAGGCAGTCCCAGGACACTAATGCAGTCAGTATTCATGCAGCCAAAAAGTAATGGTGGGCTGACCCAGCCCCTGGGAGAAACATCTTGTCTCCAGCCCAAACGTCTATTCCAGCTCTGCCTTCACGGCTGGGTTATCACCTCAAAGGCATCTCCAGATGCCCAGAAGAGCCAAAAGGAAAAATAATAAGATGCTAAGATGAAAAGGGGCATTCAACGTGCATTCGACAGTGACCCAAGTGTACACTCCATGTTATGTAGGTAAAGAGACGCACCTATGTCCTGGTAGTGCCAGCCCCCTGCGTAGAACTCCTCCAGGAGGGCAGGGGGTCGCCAGGTCTGAAGGAGGAGGTCCACCTGGTGCTGCTTTCGCCAGCTCAAGGACTGGCACAGCATCTCACGGGCCCTGTCCAGGTGGAAGTCTCGAGCCCGCAGGAACCTAAGGATGTGCTCGTCTTTGGGGATCTGAGAAGAGAAGGAGGAGAAAGCCTTTAGCGTGGAATTCCCTAAGCCCGGCAGTGAAACTGGAAAATGAGTCTCCTGTCTTATCTGACAAACACTTAGCTGGGAAAAGGACGTTACACTCAACCACGACGCAGCCAAGGGTGGACTGCAGTGAATGTCTGAGTTTGGGCTTCCTAACCTCCCCCTCCTGTGCTGGCGGTGACATCTCTTTTCTCTTGGGGAACTGCTTTTCCTGCCCCCTTCCCAACACCAACGGTGGTTTTAGTTAGCGTTGCCAATCACAGGACCCCACTCCCACGGCCTCCGGTGGACAAAATCCATGCCAGGCCAATCAGAGCATTTAGACAATTTTAAATCTGAAGAAAGGGGCATGAATCCCTTTCTCTACCGAGGCAAAGGGGAGACTCAAAGCTGTAAGCAGGGCTTCCCTGGTGGCGCAGTGGTTGAGAGTCCACCTGCCGATGCAGGGGACTTGGGTTCGTGCCCTGGTCCGGGAAGATCCCACATGCCGCAGAGCGGCTGGGCCCGTGAGCCATGGCCGCTGAGCCTGCGCGTCCGGAGCCTGTGCTCCGCAACAGGAGAGGCCACAACAGTGAGAGGCCTGCGTACCACACACACACACACAAAAGCTGTAAGCAGCCACAGATCCAAGCTCAACAAGGAAGCATGTCTGAGGGGATGAAGCAGACATAAACGGATACAAGAACCAAGCGGTCTCGACAGCATTTAAGTTCTGGTTTCATGGGACTTCCCTGGTGGTCAAGTGGCTAAGACTCCGCACTCCCAATGCAGGGGGCCCTGGTTCGATCCCTAGTCAGGGAACTAGATCCCACATACTAAGGATCCCGCGTGCCACAACTAACAAGATCCTGCATGCTGCAACCAAGACCCAGCGCAGCCAAATAAATAAATAAATATTAAAAAAAAAAAAAAAGTCCTGGTTCGGGACATCCCTGAGACAGGCTGTGTGGTCAGCTGAATGGTGTCCCACCAAGATCATGTCCACCCAGAACCTCGGAGTGTGACTTTATTTGGAGATAGGCTCTTTGTAGAAGTAATTAGTTAAGATGAGGTCATACTCTATTAGGGGGTGCCCTACTCCAATGTCTGCTGTCCTTATTATAAGAGGGAAATTTGGATACAGACACAGAATGTAAAGAGGGGAGAAGGCCACGTGAAGACAAAGGCAGAGACTGGAAGTGACGTATCTACACGCCAAGGACTGCTGGCAGCCATCAGAAGCCAGGAGAGAGGAATGGAACAGATTCCCCCAACCCACCCAGCCTCCAGAAGGAACCAACCCTGTTGACACGTTGATTTCAGACATCTGGCCTTCAGAACTGTGAGAATAACTTTCTGTTGCTTTGAGACACACAGTCTGTGGTATTTTGTTTCAGCAGCCCCAGGAAACTAACACACCCCACTTAACAGTTTGTTATATGAGCCGATTAAACCCCTACCCCCGCTTTTTTTGTCTGGTTGATTCAAGCTGCATTCCTAACACATATAACCCAGACTCTAACTAACATGCAGAGGTGACAAGCTAAAGCCCACCACTCTCCTTCCTTCCCTCAGGCAAGTATCAACAGTCAAGGGAAAGCCAGCCCCCATAAAAAGTGCACTTTCCTGAGTGCTGTGCGGAGCCAGACACGGAGTGGATTGTCCCTTGTAATTCACTCCGGGGGCAGGGGGTGTGCTCACATTGTACCCATTTTACAGATGAGGAAACAGGCAAACAGGTTACATCCCAGCCCAACACTAAAGTAACTCCCTTGTCTGCCCCCCGGTGGGGGGAGGGGAGGAAGGGCAAGCAACTCACGAATAGGCTGGAAGCTCTTATTCAACAGAGCTGAAGGTCAGGCCCGTGATTGAGACCTACAGGCATGGTGGACACTCATGAGTGGGGCTTAGAGTCTAAAGGCAAAGCCCATGTGCAGTCAAAAATCAGCCCTCGCAAATCATTAAATCTCTTAGAAAAGAACAGTATGCATGGTTTTGTGAACACAGTGACTGTGTGGTGACTGTGCTCCCCAGGGGACACTGGCGATGTCTAGAGCCACTTTTTTTTTTTTTTTTTTTTAGAGCCACTTTTGGTTGTCACAGCTGGGGAAGAAGAGCTCCTGACCTCTCATGGGTGGGGTCCAGGGACACTGCCCAATGCCCTATGGTGCACAGGACGGCCCCCCATAAAGAACTGTCCGTCCTCAAATGTCAACTATGCCGAGGATGGGAAACCATGCTATCAGTGCTATGTACAGAATGCATGAGGCAGGATATAACAAAAGAAGGCCAAATAGAAGTGTCCAGCATTGCTAATTACACAGACTTACTTACCTGGCCCTTCCTCCCCCCATGCCTGAGGCTGAGTCGCTGCAGCCCCAGCCCTGACCCACCTTGCCTTTGTGGGTCTCCTGCAACCAATGCCGCAGCTGGATCAGGCAGCTCTCCTGCATGGGTGTGAGATGGCCCAGGCACCTCTCAATGTAGTCCGTATCCAGCTTGTCCCCTGGAGGAGAAAAGGGGGTTCAGGACAGCAGGAGATGCTGCATGGTCAACCCTTCCTGAAACCCTTGCCTTACTGGCTACCTTGAATCCAAAACGTAGTTCCAAGCGCACGGTGACCCTTTCACCAAATAGCCACTGGTCTTCAGATCTTCTAGTGTTTCCAACCCACTTCCAAGGTGATTCTAAAAACTCATGCTGGGGCAAGCCTGGATCTCACTGTGCTGAGTGATGTGTCCCTTTGACTCTCAGAAATCAAGATAATTCCTACCCTCTGGGAATGTAAGTTGATATAGCCACTATGGAAAACAGTATGGAGGTTCCTCAGAAAACTAAAGATAGAGTTACCATATGATCCAGCAATCCCATTCCTGGGCATATACCCAGACAAAACTGTAATTCAAAAAGATACATGCACCCCTATGTTCACAGCAGCACTATTCACAATAGCCAAGACATGGAAACAACCTAAATGTCCATCAATAGATGGTTGGATAAAGAAGATGTGGTACATATATACAATGGAATATTACTCAGCCGTAAAAAAGAACAAAATAATGCCATTTGCAGCAGCATGGATGCAACTAGACATTATCTTACTAAGTGAAGTGAGTCAGAAAGAGAAAGACAAATACCATATGATATCACTTATATGTGGAATCTAAAATATGACCCAAATGAACCTATCTACAAAACAGAAACAGACTCACAGACACAGAGAAAAGACTTGTGGTTGCCAGGGGGAGGGGGAAAGGGAGAGGGATAGACTGGGAATTTGGGGTTGGTAGATGCAAACTATTACATTTAGAATGGATAAACAACAAGGTCCTACTGTACAGCACAGGGAAATATATCCAGTCTCCTAGGATAAACCATAATGGAAAAGAATATTAAAAAAAGAATACATGTGTGTATAACTGAAGCCAGGGAGCCGGGATCCCTCAGCAGCTTGGCAGTGTGATGATTGCAGTGTGACTCTTTCCTACTCCTGTGCTGTATTGAAATGATGGGGACTGGGCTGTGTTGCAAATAAATCATTTTTTGTTGTTAAAAAAAAATCGTTGTAAATCAACTATACTCCAATTAAAAAAAAAATTCCCACCCTCTGGAGCTGCCCCACCCTCTGAAGATTATTGACAACATGAGCTCATGTCTACTGACATGCATCATCTGAGCCAGCTCCCAACAGCCCTGGGAGGCGGGTGTCACTATTGTTCCCACTTTAGAGAAGACAAAACTGAGGCCAAGAGAGGTTCCGTAACTCAAACAGGTAAATGCCTGTGGTGTGCCCAGCATAAAGGAGGCAGCGGATAAGTACCAGTCCTTTTTGCCTTCCCACCTCCCAGCCCCATTGTGGGGTTCGAGGTTTTGGGTAGACAAAGCCCTGACCCCAAAATACAGCCTGGGAGCTGCATGGATCATGCCCACTGTTCAATCCTGTGTCGCACAATTGGGCTGTTTGAGGTCAGCATGTGCCGGCATTTAGAGGCGGGACTCGGAGCTGAGGTCTTGTTGCCCGCTCTGAACTGCTGTGGTGGCGGATGCTGGCATGGTGAGGCATCTCAGCATCTTAGCATCTCAGCCCTGGGTGCAGATGGTCCACAAAGAGCAGCCTTCATGGGCATAGACTGTTCTTTGTGTGCAGAGGGCACAATAAGAAAACAAACAATGTCCACACATCCAGCAGCAGGACCCAGCGTTTCCCTCCAAAACAAAAAAAGCCCAGGGCTGGTGGTCATGGCAACTGCACCAGTAGCCACCTGGGTAAACAGAGTCAGGAGGAATGCTGTGGAGGGACCGCCCAGACCCTGCAACACCTCAGAGTGGTCAGAAGCGGAGATGCTGAAGACAGGGAGGGGCAAGGAGGGGATGAGGGAGGAAACACGAGGGAGGCAGTAGATGCCAGCTTCCTTCCGGCCTCCAGGCAGATGTGAGGCCCCTTTCTCCTTCTGAGCACAAAGGCTCAGTGACACAGAGCAGGGTGGAAGGGGCATGATCCTGCCTCCCTCCAGCCATCCTGAGTACTGGCTCTGCTGGTGGACAGCACAGACAGAAAGGGAAGGGAAGGCCTAGTGCAAAATGGGGAGGGCACAGGGCACGACACAGAGTGTGCGCACAGAAAAGGGCAGAAGTGCAGTAAAAAAAAAAAAAAAAAAAATTTAATATTTTAAAAGCACACGCACAACAGCAGCCATCTAGTACACACAGTTGGTGAAGAATAAATATTTGTTGAACAAATGAATTTTGTTCTCCCTAAACACAGCCCCAGATGTATTTTTGTGGCATATCTCTGTGTCAGGCAAGCGCTTACACTTCAGTGGCCCCAAAGAGAAAACAGTCATTGTGGGCATTAGTGCACATGGTTAAAACTGGATTCATGGGGCATGTGCAATTGTGTGTCCTAGGTTTTTTCCTTTAACACTATATTGTGAACATTTTCCATGTCGATGAGAGTCTGAAACATGACAAAGGGCTAATTGCCTTAATATGCAAAGAGCTCTTACAAGGCAATAAGAAATTGATGGAAAAACAGAATGGACATAGGACAAGAACAGGAATTCACAGAAAAAAAAAAGAAAGAAAGAAAAGAAAAAACCAAACATGAAAAAATAAAACGACCTCACTCATAAAGAAATAAATAGCCACTAATCTACCATTGGTCACTCTTTGCCCTTCAGAAGTTTAAAACATTCACTAATAGTCTCGAGGTAGCTGGGGTAAAGTCCGGAATAGATGCAGCTACACATTTTTGGTGGGAACATTAACTACTATACCTCTTTGCAGGCCTAATTGATAAATCTACCAAAATTTTAGTTGCATATAACATTTGACTCAGCAAATCAACTCAAAATTATATGCTATATATATATGCTCATGAAAATATTTTTTAAAACCTTAAGTAAAAGAGGTACCACATTATTTGCATTTTTAAAAAGAATGGAAACAATCTACATGTCCATCAATAGGAGACTAGCTAAAAAAAAAACTAAAATAATAAATAATCAATCTTTATTAATAAATAAATAATGGTGCAACCACACCACAAAATACTGCAAAGTGCCAATACACATGCACTGATACAAAAAGCTGTTCAAGCAACATTAGTAAGTGAAAAAAAAGCAAAATATCGAATGGAATGTATGTATGCTCTCATTTGTTCAGTGTAGGTTACACGTGTGTATGAGTGTATACACGTGTGTGTGCGTATTATGTACGTATATATGCCTAGGTAATTTCAGGAAAAACTGTAGTTGCCTCCAGTGAGAGGAAAGGAGTCTTACTTCCTACTTCACATCTTCTGAGCAGTTTCAATTTTTTTCTACCACGATCATGCATTACTCATTTAATATAGAATATTAATAAAACAGAGGAAAGGGCAGTCCTGAGGTACCAGATCAGTCGATTCCTGATCTAGAAATAAGTCAGTTCTGCCTCTTGGGCTGGAGCACAGAGAAGGCAAAGCAGCCAGGAGAGGGAGGAAGCTGAGTCCCAACACCAAGGGGACCCTTGGTAACTCTCCCCACCCCCACCTCCTCCCCCCAACAGTGAGCAAACACGCTGCAGACCCCAGAACAGAACTGGCTGGCTGGCTGAGACCTACCATCAGTACTGACCATCTCGGGAGCAGGGCCCTGGGCGCTACCAGGCCCGCAGACCTTCAGGGAGCCAGGATCCCTCAGCCCAGACTGGGAGTGGGTGTCCTCCTCTGGGACTGGGGCAGGTGTCCACCGGGGAATGTGAGAGGTGCCCTGGGAGATGAGCTCGTTCAGGTAATGCTCGATCACCTCCTTCCCCTGGAGGTCAGAGAGACACATCAGTACCTCGGAGTTCAGCCTGGGAGTCGCCCCCTCCTGGCTCCGGCCCCAGCCAGCCTGATATGTGGCTACTGAGCAGCTGAAATTCAGCCAGTCCAAAGGGACATGTGTTGGGAGTGTTAAATACACACCGGATTTCCAAGACATAGTACCAAACGAGGAATGTAAAATAGCGCACAAATAAGTTTTATATTGATAACACGTGGATAAAAATATATTATTAAAATGAAGTTCACCTGTTTCACTACACTAACAGGCCTCCACTCAGTGATGGGTCTGAGGTCTTTAAACCAAGCAGCGCACAATGTCCCTCTGTCCAGAGAGTTCACTGCCCAAGCCTAGGAGCTTTTGGACAATGACTATGGTGCCCCCATTATGGACCGGGTGCTTTCCATCCATTATCTCATGTGATATGACTTTGATTAGAATACCCATTCTACGGATGAGGAGACTGAGGCTGAGGAAGGTTAAGGGTCTTGGGGTGGCAGATCGGGATCCGCAGGCTCTGAGGTCTGTGCACCTTCCTCTGCGTGACCTATGGAACCCGTCTCTTACCCTCTTGACGTTGGCTGTGTACTGCTTCATGGCGATCTTCTCCAAGGCACTTTCGAAGCCAAAGAAGGACCGGATGTCGAGCGAGGCAGACTGCTCAAAGCATGTCCAGTCTTCATTCTCAGGGTGGACCTGAAAGCCAGGCAGGGGCAGTGACATGGTCTCAGTGTGGGAGACGCCATGCCCTCCCCAGGGGGCTCTCTTGGAGACCTGGACCAGCTAGAGCATGCAGTGGACAGCACGTCACAGTCTGGCAACACCCAAGGGCAGCAGCAGTACCAAAGGGCCCTGCCCAGAACAATGCAAGGTCTAAAGCCTTAGAGAACAGAGAGCCTTCTCAGGAGGGACCAAAAGAAAGTGAGACCAATGTTCCCGTCCCTTAAAAATTGTACATACATAGTGATATATTTAAATAACATATTTAATATACCATTATAAATAAATTATACATAAATACTATATTTTATATTTTTAAAATATGTATTTATATATCATATCTTTATTATAAATAAATATGCATATATATGTAAGCAAAGACAAATTTCATGGACAGAGCTACTGTGCAGACCCAGCCTTAGTGCCTCTCAAACTTCCGTGGGCAGAAGCATTAGCAGGGCATCTGTTAAATATGCAGATGCCTGGGCTGAACAGGTCCAAGGTAGGGCCTTAGAATCTGTATTTACAAGCAGCCTTGGTGATACTGCTCACCAGCTGTTGGCAGAACTCACTCTAAGAAACACTACACTAAAAGTGACATAAAAAACTACCACCAACACCTCCCCAGAGGTAAACATCCTGGACTCAGTTTCCAGGAGGCTCCAAGAGGAGCTGAAAATGTGGAAGGAAAAAGCGGTGAGAATTTACTGGATGCCTGCTGTATACGAGGCACCACACAAAGTGTCTAGGGACCAGAGAGATGAATGAGGCAAGGTCTCCCGAACAGGAGGCTGGGCAAAGACACATCAAAAACACCCAGGGGACTTCCCTGGCGGTCCAGTGGTTAGAACTCCATGCTTCCACTGCAGGGGGCGCAGGTTTGATCCCTGTTCAGGGAACTAAGATCCCGCAAGCCATGCGGCACAACCAATTAAAAAAAAAAAAAAAAAAAAAAACCTGTAATGTAATGGACCACATTTTTTACCCTGGAGTTACCACCTTGAGCTAACCATCTGGGATGTAGCATCAGCTAAGGGGCTTTACCTACATTACCTCATTTGCTTCTCCCAGTGCCCAGTGAGGTGGGTTCTGCTGCTGTCCCCGTTTTACATATATGGAAGGGTGGCCCGGGGAGGGGAAGCAATTGCCCAGTGTCACTCAGCAAGAAAGTGGCAGAGCTCGGTTCATCCCAGCAAATGCCTCCAAACTCCTCACTGCAGCCCCGAGGCCAGCAGTACTCGGCCCCTGCAGCCCCCATTCTCAGACCTCCCTCATCCACCTCAGGGTCTTCACACGTGCTGTTTCCTCCTCCAGAACTCTCTTCCCAGCCCTCTCATCTTTCCGATCTCAGCTTCAGCGGCATGTCCTCAGAGAGGCCTGGGGGACACTGTTACCTAAGACACTGTCACCTCCTCTTATTTTCTGTAACTCTGGATCCCTTCTTAGCACTGTGACAAAGTTGTAAGTATATATTGATTTTTTTTTTCTCATCTGTGTCTCCCACTGGAATGGAAGTCCCGTGAAGGCAATGGTCAGGCAGATTGGTCCACTGCTGGGTGTCCAGGACTTGTCAGGTTGCCTGGCATATAGTAGGTGCTCAATCAGTATGTACTGGAGAATAATAATTATCATTAATTACATTAAAAGTTAACATGAACTCTACTCATTACTCTGTAATGGCCTATATGGGAAAGAGTCTAAAAAAAAAAAGAGTGGATATATGTATAACTGATTCACTTTGCTGTACACCTGAAACTAACACAACATTGTAAATCAACTATACTCCAATGAAAAATTTTATAAAAAGTTAAACACGTGGGCTTCCCTAGTGGCGCAGTGGTTGAGAGTCCGCCTGCCGATGCAGGGGACATGGGTTCGTGCCCCGGTCCGGGAAGATCCCACATGCTGCAGAGCGGCTGGGCCCGTGAGCCATGGCCGCTGAGCCTGCGCGTCTGGAGCCTGTGCTCCACAACGGGAGAGGCCACAGCGGTGAGAGGCCCGCATACCGCAAAAAAAAAAAAAAAAAAAAGTTAACACGTATACAGGACTTAGTATGTGCCAGGCACTGCTCTAAGGGGTTCAGATATTTTACTTCATTTAATCCTCACCACAACCTATGTGGTAAGTACAATCATTAACCCCATCTTACAGGTGAAGAAACTGAGGCACAGTTTCATTAAGGGGGTGGGGAGGCATGGTCTTGTATTTAGCCAATAAAATACAAGATGCCCAGTCACACTTGAATTTCAGAGAAACACGAATAATATTTTAGTAAGTATGTCCCAAGCAGCTTTTGAGACTGCTTAAACTAATACATATATATCGGGGCTTCCAGCCCGCTGCTCACCGTGTAGCTGCAGTTCTCCTTGACCACCACGCGGCTGGCGAAGGTCTCATTGTGCGCTTCGATGAGGAGAGTCCTCTCCTTCCAGTTCAAGACGTTTCTTTGCACGAAGACCACGTGCTCGACGCCTGCAATCTGCAGGGACAGGGCAGCAGGGACGTGCGTGCTGGACGTGAGGTGGCGGCTGGGAGCGCGAACCCAGAGGGTTGGCGCCTGTCACCCTCGGACCCCGGGACCCCCGGCCCCCTGCCCCGCACCTGCCCACCAGCCAGAGCCCGGATCCCCGACTTTTCCCCCTTCCCCCGACTTCCCGGACCCCGGGACTCCCTCTTGTCCCTGGTCCTCCCTGGTCCTCCTACAGTCTCAGCCCAGCCTCCCGGCCCTCGTCTCTCCTGGACACGGGAGGCCCCCAGCCCAGAACGCCCTCCGGGTACCAATACACACTCACTCCAACGCCTGAACCCACCCCCTGGTCCCAGGTCCCCCGCCCGCCATCCCCTACCACCCGTCCGGTCCCCTACTCCGCGGGGTCCCTGGTTCTCCAGGACCCCCTCCGCGCCCACCTTCCGCAACAGCCGCGGGGCTTCCACCCGCAGCCGGCAGCTCCGCTCCACCAAGTGCACCGCCCCATCAGCGCTGCGGGACTCGCGTAGGACCTCGCTGCCCAGGAAGACCGGGATCTGCGGGCAGGTGGGGAAGCGCTTCTCATAGGCCTGGGGACAGAGGGGTGGGGGTGAGCGCCAAAGGGGCTGGGGGCAGCCAGAGCACAACCTTTCTCCCTCCAGCCCTCACTGGGGCTGTTGTCTCAATTCCGAGAGGGGGTACCCAGAGAAGAGAACAGCGTCCTGGCCTGTGCAAAGAGCAGTGACCACTGCCTGTATTACCAAGACCACCGTCTTAACATCTATTCTAGAGCAGTGACACAGGAGTGCCTGAGCTATGACTTGGCAAATCACGTTTTGACTCTACATTTGAGGTTTTGCCCTGGGAAGGTAGAGTGGGCTAGCTTGGGGCATTTTATTTATTTATTTTTGTCTTTTATTTTTTATTTTATATTGGAGTATAGTTGATTAACAAAGCTGTGTTAGTTTCAGGTGTACAGCAAAGTGGTTCAGTTATACATATACATGTATCTATTCTTTTTCAAATTCTTTTCCCATTTAGGTTATCACAGAATATTGAGCAGAGTTCCCTGTGCTATACCGTAGGTCCTTGTTGGTTATCTATTTTAAATATGGCTTGGAGCATTTTAAAAGAAGATATCTTTTAGAAAAAAGCAATCGACAAAACCAACACCCCTTCATGATTAAAACAATAAAAAACAACACTCAACAAACTCGGAATAGAAGGGAACTTCCTCAGCCTGATAAAGGGCACCTACAAAAACCCCAGCTAACATCATACTCAATGGTGAAAGACTGACACTTTCCCCCTACGATCAGGAACTAGGCAGGGATGTCTGCTCTGGCTGCTTCCATGCAACATTGTCCTGGAGGTTCTAGCCAGGGCAGTTAGGCAAGTAAAAGAAAGAAAAAGTATCCAGATTGGAGAATGAGAGCTCAATTCCAGAAGTGCCAGGGTCAGAGCCGCCGGGGGGCATACCAGCATCCGTGGCTGACTGTATTCAAGCAGGGTTTGCTCCAAGAGCCTGTCAACAGCCACGTGTCCCAGAATCAAGGATCAAAGTGAGCTCCAAAAATAGTGCCGGCATCTGAGGACACACACCTCCTTCCCATCCCTCCTGACTCCTGGCAGGGAGGCGGGACCACCCAGCTCAGAAGGGCAGAGGCGCGGGAGGGACAAAGAAGAGATGCTTGGTGCTCTTGGTGTCACTCAAGGTCCCACAAGGCCAGCCCAGCGCATCGTCCGCCAGGGTCAGGAGGACAGGGCTGCCTCCATGTGTAGAGGCTGGTTGCTTTGTACAAACACCCCAGGGTTAGAATAACTCTCCTCAGGGGAGAATGCACAATGGCACTCCTGGGGGTCTAGCCTCAGGGCTGGCAAGGGAGGCCCCCTGAGAACTGTGTCTCCCCTACACATCTCAGGCCACCTTGAGCCCTCTTTCAAAGGAAGGCATTTCTCCACTGAGGAAGGAGCTGCATAGCAAAGTAAGCAGAGCTTGGGGTGGGGTCAGGCACCTGGCATGAAGCCAAGCTCCACCTCCAGGAGAAGCAAGTCCCTTCTTTTCTCTTAGCCATTTCATCATCTGGAAAGTGGGTATATACCAGGTTGAGTATCTCAGGCAGAGCCTGGAACATAGTAGGCACCCAGGGTTTTTATTCTCTAGGCAACAGGACTCAAATGGTGGCACAGTGCACATTTGCAAGAACTGCAGACAACACCCTCCCAGCCCCTTCTGAGCAGAGGGAGAGCCAGAGGAGCTGGGCTCTGCCCCACCTCCGTGATGGGCAGAGGGATGCTGACCTTTTTGTGAAAGTTTATGGAGGGAAAAGGGTGCATGTGTCAGAACTGGTCAGGCTCAGTTTGAGTTCCTGCTACCTTCTCACTGCATGACCTTAGGCAAGTCGCTTGCCCTCTCTGAGCCTCCGTCTCATCATCTATAAAATGGGCTGGTGGTAAGGATGTCACTAGATCACGTCTCAGAGCAGTTGGCACACAGTGAGGCCTTGACTCTGCTCCTCCAGCTGTGTGCCTTCTTCCATTTAATCATCTGAATGGTGCCCTCATTTGACAAATGAGGAAACTGGAGCCCAGAGACACTAAGTAACTTACCCAATGTCACACAGTGCAATATGGTGAACCTGGATTTAAATCCCAAGCCGGCCCAGCCCCAGCTCCCTCAGGAACCCCTTGCTCAGCAGCTTGGAAACAGCCCAGGCATTTTCCCCCGGGGCCATGTGGTCTTGATTTCTCTACCCTCAGTCCTTCAACTCCTGCCAAGCAGTGGCCACACTGCCCCTGAGCATCTCCAATTCCTCTGTTCCGCAGTCTCTCTCCTGCTCCCCAGATGGAACGACATACTCAGAACAGGCCTGGATGCCCGGAACAAATCCCACTCTTACTCTTACACTCCTTACTCTGTTCCACCATCCCACCTCCCACTGCAGCCTCCTTTTCTCTGCTCCAGCCTTGCTATTTTTGGAACATGCTGTCATAGGTTGAATTGTGTGTCATCCACCCCTAACAAAATTCATAGGTTGAAATCCTAACCCCCCCCCAGTACCTCAAGATGTGACATTATTTGGAAATAGGTTTGTTGTGGATGTAATTAATTAAGATGAAGTCGTATTGGAGTAGGGGGGAGGCCCCTAATCCAATAAGACTGGCATCCTTTTAAAACAGGGAAATTTGGACACAAACACACAGACAGAGAGAATGCCATGTGAAGATGAAGGCACAGGTTGGGGTGAAGCCAAGGAACACCAAAGATTTCCAGCCACACCAGAAGCTAGGGGAGAGGCATGGAACAGATTCTCCCTCGCAGCCCTCAATAGGAACCAGCTCTGCCGACACCTTGATCTCAGGCTTCCAGCCTCCAGGACTATGAGGTAAAAAATGTCTGCTATTTAAGCCACCCAGTTTGTGGTACTTTGTTATGTCAACCACAGGAAACAAATATACCCACCAAGCTTGTTCCTGCCACAGGGCCTTTGCACTTGCTGCTCCCTCTTCTTGGAACACTAATCAATCCACCTGACATCCAAGGGGGAGAGAGGTTTGAGTCACAGGGGCTTCCAGAGGGTAGGAGACCTGGATTGAAGGCTCAAGAGATGTTCTGGCTTCGGGGACTCATCTGTGCCGGCCCCCCTTCCTGGGACATCCTCCCCTACCTTCATCCCTGCAACGCTGCCTCCTGTACTGTTCTCTGTCCTGTTCATTTTCTTGGTAGCACTTATGGCACCTTCTAACCATATACTTGCTTGCACATGGCATACCCAAGGCCTGGGCTACGTGTTTTTTTTGCGGCACTGAACTCAGACATGTGCCCATCTCAGTTCTTGGGCTAACTAGGGCTAACAAAGAAAAGCCGACGGGCAAGGAAAGAAAGAATGCAAACTTGCCAATGGCCCAAAAAGCCCCAAGAAAGGGGTCCAGGGAGAGAAATGACAGGCCGTTAGTGCAGTGCACACAGCCAAGCGAACTTCACCAACTTCCTGTTGTTACAAACCTCTTGTTGGAAGAATCCCGTCTGGCACCCCCAGATAACGGCGGAGCTGATCAGCAGCAGACAGGCTCTTGGACACAGCTTTCCCTGACTGTGTGAGGGAAGGCACTGCTGTTTCAACAATGGTGCCACCCCAAGCACTGTGGGGACCCCAGAGCCCAGGCTCCATCTGGAAGGCAGGGGGCCCCAAAATAAGGAGTCTACCCCAGTGCTAATTCTCCAGGGTCAGAGGCTATCAGCCAGAGATTCCCTGGGGTTGTGAGGGCTGGTGTTGGACACCGTTGTTATGGTGACATTTACAGAGGGCTGACTGCACCATTTTGTCCTCATGACATCCCGTTGGGATGGAAACTAGTATTTCCCCATTTTACAGATGAGCAAGTTGAGGCTCGAGAAGGCAGAGTGACTTGCCTCTGGCATCACAGGGCCAGTAAGTGGTGGGGTTGGATCGCAGGCCCATCTGACCCAGCCCCCAACCCTGAACCTCCCAGTCCTGCCTCTCAGGGGACATTGGCTACGTCATAAATGTCAGTGTTTTGGAAATCCTGAATCCTGCTGGCCCAAAACCCTCAGATCAGGGGCCCTTTGCCTTTGGCAGGTGACAGGGTCTTACAGGATCAGGTAGTTCACAGGACCCTCCCTGTGTTGGAAACCAGCTCACACAGATAGTTTTATCCCTACCTGAGAGCCTCAGACGCTGACCGCTATCCCCACAAATCAGGCCTGAGCTTCTCCCAGCTGGACAAACACACGCTGTGGCCTCCTCGGGGACACAGGGTAACAGAAGGATTTGGTTTCAGCCCTTCCGCCAAGTGATTGGAGAGGGACACCCACGCATGCCAGCTCAGAAAGGGAGCTGGTCCAAGGCCCAGAACCTGCCCAGGCAGGGACAGGGCTGGGGCAGGCAGAGGCCAGTGGAAACTTCTATTGAAGGTCTCCTACGAGCTGCCCATCCTGCAAAAATCCACATCAACACACTAAGCATGTGGAAAGGGGAGCCTAGATTCCTAGCCAGACTTGCCCATTTCCAGGCTGGGTAACCTTGAGCACAGTACTTCCTGTTTCTCCCTGAGAACACGATTAGTCTATAACATGATTACTCTATAAAGGGAAGTAATCATGAAACCTCCCAATGAGTGCTCAGTTGTGCCTCTTTCCTTCTTTCCCGTGTCACAACTGCTGAAGTAAAAAGTCATCAGCCCTGGGCTTCCCTGGTGGCGCAGTGGTTGAGAGTCCGCCTGCCGATGCAGGGGACACGGGTTCGTGACCCGGTCTGGGAAGATCCCACATGCTGCGGAGCAGCTGGGCCCGTGAGCCATGGCCGCTGAGCCTGCGCGTCCGGAGCCTGTGCTCCGCAACGGAAGAGGCCACAGCAGTGAGAGGCCCGCGTATTGCGCAAAAAAAAAAAAAAAAAAAGTCATCAGCCCTGAATCCCTAGTGCTTAGCAAAATGCCTAGCATGCAGTTGACACTCAATAGACATTACATGATAAAGGAGTGAAGGACAGTGTAGCTTAGCCATGAAGGGTGTGGACTCTGAGGCTTGGGTTCGAATCTCTGCTCTGCTTACTACCAGCCCTGTAGCCTT